AAAGCATGAAGTGACAAACTGGCAGAAAAATACTAACTCCAAGCTTACAGATGGGACAGAATTATCTGTATAAGGGAAAAAAGTAAGTCATGTGAAAGGCAGGATCTTAGTAAAAATATGTAGCCCATGTAATAGCGAGGAGAATCATCTGAACTGCCCTTCCCTTAGACTGTGATAAGTCTAAGAGTGCATATGACCAGCAGAAAAAAATTCCGTAGCTCCTGATTCCCTATGTTCTCCATTGTAAGAGAAACTCTAGGATGAAATTTCTAGTCAAAACTAGAGGAAGAGGACAGAAGTACTCACCCCAGAATAGTAATATAGCATGGCAGTCAGGAGGCATCTTGAAGCTGGGAAAACCAAATCCAGATGTATGTTCTACGTGGTTCAGACCAGAGGGATAAAATTGTTTCTCCACCTTCCCATGCAAGTTCCTTCGTCCCTAAGCTGCTGTTCTACCACTGTTGCTTCTCATGAAAACCTTTGGTAGATCTGCTTTTTCTTCACTGCAGAACAGAAGCCCTTTGGAAGTCTAAAAGGTTCACAGGACAAGAAATAATTTCCTGTCCACTTGCTAAGCATTCCTTGGCAGCTATGTTCCAGACAAATCATTTCCCTCTGCAGCAGAGTTTTTTGCGAGCACAGTTCTTTCATAAATGCTTGGATTTAGCTTCTAGAACTTAGTCCCATGCTAGCTAAGAATGACTGCTTCCCCCATCACTTTCAGAACTAACTACAAAATTTAATTTTTTTAATTCAGCTGTACTTCAATAAATGTTTCTCATGTGCACAGAGCCATCCTACTGCATATTCACACATACTAATATAAACAAAAAAGCATAAGCTAGCAAAACCTACACATGCATCCAAATGTTTTTCCGTGCAGCTTGTAGAAGGAGGAAGAAAGAATTCTTTCCGTATTCATAGTAGGTAAACTCTTGATATCACTGATTTCAGTGGCCCTAGATTTTACCATGGAAAGGGGCTGTAAAAATTGATCTAAAGACAGCTACTCTATCAGTATGTAAATATAAAGTGCACAGTCACTGCTGTGTTTTTTAATGCTAGTTATTTTTCCACTGATGTGAAAAGTTATGAAGAATTATTTCTCCCCCATTAGGTATTGCTTGGTTAATTGTGTGGTCATGAGAGCAGAGGCTATGTGTGATTTTAATGAGGGTACAGTACAGAAATGAATGGAAAATAATGCTTTAAAGCAAGTTATAATGTATTAATAGATTCACTTGATTTGTTATTACTCAAGCTGTTCACAGTGATGTGATTTCACTAGTGACTAATGTGTTTCAGCCATTTGCTGGAGGAATGAGGTGCCGGGGCTCTCTGGTCAAGGGCTGTGAAATCTTCCCCTTTCAGGACTCGGTGTTGGTCCGCAGCAGTGGATACCACCTGACAGGTCATTGCTGGTCTCTAATCACTCTGCTCGGGACAATTATTTTCTCTCTGAGTTTCCTTTGTTAGGAGGATGAACAGAAGCCAAGGATGAAACTTAGCATGTCTCCCATAGTACTTTCTCATCTTTGAGACTCCTTCCCACACTGCAGTCGAGGGCACACTAGTGAAAGGGTGTGTAAGAAAGTTGTTTGCCGTACCAGTTCTGTTGATTGAGCAGTAAATTAATTGAAAGTAAATGTTCAGGAAAGATAATTTCAGGGCTGTGAAGACTTAACATTTTATTGTGATCCTTACAATTTGTGATGGGAAACAGAGAGGTTTTTGTGTTTGGTTTTTGCCTTCAAAATCCTACTCCTGCATTAAGTAAGTAAATAAAAGTCTCAGTTCTCATTTAGAAAGATGTATTATGAGCTTAGTATGTACTCACTTTTTAAAACTTACCATTTTAAATTGGTTGGTGTTTTTGATCACTTGGAATGGCAGTTTTACAGTGATGCCTGGCAAGGGCTCACCAGAATATGTTCACATTACTTCATGTCATGATTGTATTCAGGATTGTCTTCTACCTGTTTTAAGACTATTTGCATGAATCTGCAATAGTAAAATTGCAGTCCTTCTGTGTTTTACATTATACTTGTTTGGCAGGGTCTTCCGTTTGCTTTTAATACTGAATTTCTTCACTTTGCAGTGTTGCCTCTGAAACAATCTACCTGTTCACAAACATAATCTGTTTCCAATTATTTTTACAGCGTTTCCCATAAGCTCTTAAGTTTTCTTCTGATATTGTTCTCTGCATTTAGAAATATTTATGGTGATAATTTTATGACCATAAAGCAGAGGAAATTCTAGTTATGGCCCAGGAGAAGTTTTACAGAGTTTGTTTTGGTTATTTTAGAAAACTGTTAGCTCTCTGTATTTTCCAAATACAAAATAATTATCAATTGAAATTTTCCTGCTTACTGATAACATTACTGGGCATTTGGGGGTTAGCTCTGCAGTGTTTTTCAAGTCTAAGTAGCATTTATTATCTTGCCTTTGCTTACAATGCTAAAAGAAGATAATACAGAATGGGCATTTCTGCCATTCAGCTGAATAAGAAGCAGTGGCCAGCAGAGCTTGCTGAGTAACAAATATGAATAGCTCAGACATTGAGTAAGATCTTATAAAATGAATTTCAAATGGATCTTAAAACGAAGGTTCTGTTAAAAGAAAAAAAGCAGACCAATTCCTCACCAGACAAGACACACAATGTAGTTTCTCACTGTAAACATGAAGGTGCTGATGACTGATACTGGTGACTAAGTGAAAAATCTAATGGTGTTTTCTTCGCTTGTTCGCATAAAGACATTACTTCCCCAAGACAAGTAAGCATTTGGAAATTTTGGAAGTTTTGCTTAAATGAAAATTAGTAGCTTCTCTGGCAACTGATACCTAGAAAATATATTTGAAAGTGATGCTATAGCATGAAATAAGTAGCATGAAGTAATGCAATTATATATGTCTTCATGTTATGAGGAGGCATTGATTAAGGATGGTGCATCTTTTTTTATTTCATACGTCACCAGTCAACTTCTGGAGGTAGTACTCTAGAAACAGGACCGTTTTTCTTTTTAGACAACCTCTTTGGTAGAGAACTGCTTCTCTATAACATCCATCCTTGACAAGATGATGGTCAAATTAATCGATCGAATGTTTTGTCTTGTCTTCCAGCAGTATGAGTGTATTTAAGATCAAGGTTGAAATCAGTCATTTATTGTCTGCAACCCTTATTATTGCTTATTGCCAATGACATGCCTGTACAGAAAAAATAGGGTGTGAGTTTTGACATAAGAAAGAGTTTGTTCTGGCTTACATATCTCCAGAATGACGGCAGTAGCAATAAAGACACAACCATGTCTACCTTAAGTGAGGGCCAGAAACCAGGCTAAGTCCCTAGGGAGTTTTGTGCTGGATGCTGCACCTAAAACATGAGTTTAAGTATTGTCAAAGGCTGCAGTGTGTAGTGTAGAGATAACACAGAAGTTAAAGTAGCTCATGTAAATAAGGCTTTCAGTGCTGTACAGACTTCTACAGTTAGAAATGAAAACTTTGTGTCTTTCACAGAGCACTGTGCTGTCCCCACTGCATAAGTCTTTCTGTGATATAATCATATCTTTTGCAGTGTAGGGGTACCATAAGGGCTGACTGGAGGGTGGGGCACTTGCTGTGATGCTTTTTTTAACTGAACAGGTACAAGTATTCATCACATTGTAAAATTCTGAAATTGTTCTTCATTATCTCCTTCTTTCCTGCTGCGGCTTGTGTTAGGACTTCAACCTGCGAAAGCACTTAGTCCTAAGTCAGTTATAAGCTGAAGATGCTGAAGGAAGAAATGCATTGACAACAAAAGCAAGATCACTGTTGTTGTTTTGGGGTTGGGTTTGGTTTAGATTTTTTTTTTTTAAATGTCTATATGTCTATAGGCTTGCAGTCACTAGGAAAATGATTATGATTCGTTTCCTGCTGGTGTTCCAGAACAGTCATGGAAGCCCATGGGAACTCTTTCTGTCCTGTTGCTTATTGAGCAGTCTTTGAAACAACTGAAATGCTGCTGTTTTCTAAAATCTGAAGGACTAAAAAGGCCTACATGGCTTCAACTTGAACTCCCAGTGGTACCTAAATGTTTAAGATGTGTAAGGTGAGTACAGATATATCTAAAGAGTGGAAGCCTGTGACAAGACCATGCTTACCGTCAGGAGTAGCAATCAGATTAGAGGAGGTCTGGAAAATAAAAATTTAGAGCTCCATCTAACAGCTATCAAATAACTGATATTGCAGTATCAATAGCTAACAAACATATACCACTAAGAGATGTTAGAACTGCACGTCCACATGCATTGCATCGCCTTTGTGCTTACTTTCCTGTAAGGGGTTATCCGCTGAAGGATGAGGAGTGGAGAGAAGCTACGCATGTAGCTACCGTTTTAGAATTATTGCAGTCTAGCTTTCTTGTCACACTCCTTAGGGGCAGAAAATGAGTTGTAAATGAGATTGGGCTATTTATGCTTTATGTAAATTTCAGGAAGTTAAGTAGTGAATCAAACTAATGTTGTCCTTAACTTGAATATTTTATCTCATAATTAACAGGAGTTCAGATATGACTGTTCATGAAGAGGAAAGTCTTTTCTTGTAGGATGTGTAGAAAATGTGTTAAGATTCTATAATTTAGTTGTGAGCAAACATGTTCTTTTTAACAAATGAAAGTAAATCAAATACTTTCACTTAACTTTTACAAAGTTAAGAAGTCTAACAACAACTTCTATAACAGTCCACGTTTCATGACTGATGAAATCAGAGTAAGTTTTGAGATTGCCTGGAAAACTGCCATGCTGTTTCCATCATACTTAAAAGATGATAGCTAACAAGTGAAAAGATGTCACCAGCTGTGGTAACCAAAAGATGATATGCAGAGTGTGCAAGTGCATTTACTAGTCCTTTTTTTTTACTTTTCTGGTAACAAAAGCAAGGAAGTTTTTTATTTGTGTGTTTTTACATATAAAACATGTATGCTTTCTGTAACAGCTTTTTCCCTCCTTTTCTTTTTTCAGAGTCAAGATGACAGATTTGCTTTCACTGCGGAATGGTATGACCCAAATGCTTCACTCTTTCGGCGTTATGAACTTCTGTATTATCCAAAAGATGGATCAGTTGAAATGGTAAGAATAAAAGAAAAAAATCTATTATCATAAGTGTAATATCCAATTAAACAGTTTGTAAAATGGCAAGCCACTGCCTATGCCTATTAATTTTCCACGTAAGGAAAATATAATTTATGATCTATCTTACTCTGTTTCTAAAACTAAAAGAAAAGCAAAAATACAAGTTCACAATGAAGCATGTGGAAGAGCTTCCATGTTTATGTTTTTTGTTTTTTTTTTTTTTTTCTTAAAACTTGCTTTGGCGTGGAGAGATTCATTTTCGCAGACCTATTTTCATTCAATCTCTACTGGGGTTTCAGAATTGAAACTCAGCAGTTTGATCAATAGAAATTGAAGCTGATTCCAAACAGGGGAATAAGCTTCAGCA